AGTCTCATGTGTCTTTCAATCCTCTACGGTACTGCACTGCACACTACACACTGTACACGGGGGAATATAAAATTGTACTATCGCAAAGGCGAAATACAATATAGTGAACAGTCTAAATTCTACAGCTTGGCGCCTAGAAATCCCTTTCAGCCTCTTGTTCCATATCAAGTCTTCTGCCTCGGAACATTTTCGCGTGCGCAACATGTGCCCTGGTTGCTTTATATTATCTTGTCAGATATGTTTTTCACTCCAAGTCAATTTTAGAGGGTGAAAAGGGTGGGGAAAAGGGAAAAGAAAAGAGAAAAAGCCTGGCCACGAGGCCCCCACTGTACGCGGTTTACCATGTTGCGCGTCTCTATTTTGCTCTCTCCACTACTCCGTACTTCCTGGGGCCGAAACCTGGAGAGGCAATGCAACTTGCCTAGTCAGGCAGTTCCGCCTGCAACCCACTTCTACAATATATATAGCAGCGCTGCATATGGGGTACATATATTGATTTTCTAGAATGATGCCCTTGCGTCCGTCACCTAAGTCACCTGGCTTGTCTCTCAGAGTCTTAAGACACGTGCAGATCGCGCCCGACGATTGCCTTCCAAGGGCACAGGGCACTCCAGCCCCCGCGTCTTTCCGCATTTCGCATTTACCTGAGCTTGGAGATCACGGTAGAGTACCGGGCATCGTGTTCCGAGGCTGGTGTCATGACTGGTCCAGTGCCCCGAACATGGGTTAGATCTATTCTGTCTAATTTGATTGCGGGCACGTTCCAGCGATAGAGATCCGAGTTGTTCAGCATTTACTCCGTATGTACATGTTCTATCGCAGGCGCGGCCCCTCTAAATAGCGCTCACCTAGCTTCAATGGGTTTTCCATCCACCAATACTCTCAACTAGCCCACATTGCTACTCTCCATCCTGTTTACTACCATTCTCAACAGGTTATGAGCCCCAGAGCTTATTGCCAAGCTGTTCAATCATCGCAAGGTATCCTCCCACAAAATACACAGCGCCAAGTCTCAGGTCTCCCACAGCTTAATGCTCCTCACGGTATACCGTTAGGTCTCGGTATATATTCATACCGTCTAGTCTACAAGCCTCAGCAACAATCAACCTTGATACTTCACATCAACAGTCAGCTAGTCGTGGCAAAGTTAAGTCTTGGTTCACAAACCACGTACAACCCGTCGAGTCCCGGTTACTGCACTTACCCTGCACCACTGATACTTTGACTTTCACCATCATAAAGCTCGTTACAACGTCTTCTATTCTGATCGTCGCAGATAAAGGCCTACCAAACTCGCGGGGAAAAAAAAGGTAAAAAAGGTAAAGGTAAAGTACGAGAGGAAAAATTTCCAAACTGCTAAACTCAATCCTCGTTTCTGTGAGCATCGATGCTCTGATATCAAACAGGCCGAAACAATATAAACCAGCATTGGTACTATTCTTAGGATAGAGGCCCGTAGAAGATTAAAGTTGGAGATCAGCTCACGTGCATTCCTCGGAATAATCTTCACTCTACTTACGTGATGGATCAGGATTCCTAAAAGATCTGCTGGATGTTGCTCGGATGCCCCTTCTCTCTCATCCCTTTGAAATGAGACTGGAGATAGTTGTTATTGCCGAGTCCCGTGTGTATTTATCAGGGAAAATCTGATGCCTTGTTCGCACCAAAATCAGATTACCAGTATCTTTCAAATATATAACTCCTAATCAGTCCTCCCGATTCTGGATTTCCAGTATACAAGTGTGGATTGACGGTAGTTGTGAGGTGGGCCGTCTATTTTGATGACAGAACGCTCACAAGCTTCCAGGGCTTTGTGCGAGCCAGTTGGTTATACAGTGGCACATTGAATTTAAGTGTAGGTTTAGCAAAGCTAGTGACAGTATGAGTGTCGTCTTCACATCAGTTGAAAAACTAAGTTCATAGACTTGGGATGAACTATCATTTACGGAGTACAAGGACCGAATCCCAGCACCTTCAGTCTTGTTTGGAAAACAGAATCTGTGTAGGTTTGGAAGCCTTTTATTACTAGGTATCTAGCCATCATATGCTCTGTTTTTACTGGTGTTACTGTCTCACTGGAATGCAGGGTCTCCAGATTCATCACGTCGGGAGTGATTGACCTTGAGTAACCAACGCCAAATGATACAGCCTTATTCTTAGATTAGTTACTCAATTATAGAATTGATGTTTTCAGATCATAAATGATATTCTTTGAGCGAAGATATAAATGCTGCTTAGGTCTAGCGACCATTTCAGGGGAAGAACGTACTGCATACCAATCACCATAAAAAGAATGTGACCAAGGGAAAGTAAAAAGCCCCGAACATAAATCAAGATATAAACCCCTTGCTTTATCGGGTTACATCCGGCTGTAGTAATGTAGGTACAGAGATGTCCTACAAGAAAAGTACTGTACATCCACACACTTGGACTTAATGTGGTTTCTACCTTCCTGTTTCAAACATCCTTCACACTTCAGCCCGGATGGTCCGATCAAAGGTACTTTTGATGAGTTCTCAGAGTTTCAATAACAAGAGAATTTAACTTGCTGTTTACCGGCAGGCTGTTCAAGCATGAGAGATTTCGAGGATCAAGCCTACACAAATCGAGATGACATCCCACTGAAAGAAACTGGAGAGAGTGATGATGATGAAGAAAAACAAGTCTATCCACCGAGCTCAAAGCTTGCTCCGATTTTGATAGGACTTTGCTTTCAATCTTTTTGTATCGCCTTGGTAAGCTTCAAGTTATTGTTACTATATGTATTTCATAAGCTAATGTGGACAACCTTGGAACTTACCAGGACAACACAATCCTCTCAACCGCCGTTCCCAAAATCACCGAAGAATTTAACTCACTAAGTGACATATCGTGGTATGCGAGCGCCTATCTTTTAACCACATGTGCTGTCACCCTACCATTTGGCAAGATATACACGTATTATTCGACAAAGTGGACGTATATGATTGCTCTCGGCTTGTTTGAACTTGGATCTCTAATATGTGCAGTGACGCCAACATCCAAGGGTTTAATTTTCGGGCGAGCAATTGCTGGCGTCGGATCTGGAGGATTGTCGCCGGGTGCTCTACTCATGCTCGCGAATAGTGTGCCCCTTCACCGGCGTGCCCTCTATTTTGGGATCATCGGTAGCACTAGTGGAATTGCGACAATCACAGGACCATTGTAAGTCTCTCTATTTCGATTACATCGAATGGCAGCTAATTTTACCATAGGCTGGGTGGTCTCTTAACTGATCATGTCAGTTGGAGATGGTGCTTTTGGATAAATCTCCCTTTTGGTGTCCTCACTGGCCTGGTGATCTTACTCTTCTTCAAGGATTCCACATCACCAAAACCCAAAATAAGCCGCATTGGGCAGCTAAAGCGAATGGATCCTCTTGGTATCCTTGCATTCATTCCAGCGATCGTTTCCCTTCTACTGTGCCTGCAATGGGGCGGCACCAAATATAGCTGGAACAATGCTCGAATAATTGCCCTATTTGTTCTGTTTGGCGTATTCGGATTTGCATGGTGTCTTATCCAGGTCTGGAAGCAGGACGACGCTACAGTACCGCCTCGTTTACTCAAGAATCGAAATGTGCTTGGGGCAGTGATTCACGCTACATTCCTAGGTGGTTCATTTTTTGTCTTTGGATACTACGTGGGTGCCGAATACAATCCTGTCACATTCATCGCTAACAAGTCTCCAAGCTTCCTATCTGGTTTCAAGCAGTTAAGGAAGATTCTGCATCAGAATCTGGAATCAACAATCTTCCGATGGTAGTGGCTATGATTGTCTTCTCTGCTATAGGAGGACTTCTGGTTAATATTGTCGGATACTATACGCCGCTCATGTTCGTTGGAAGCGCATTTCTCACGATTGGCTCTGGACTGTGTACAACTTTCAAAGTGGAGAGCGGACGTCCGCAATGGATTGGATACCAAGTCATTCTTGGAATTGGAGCTGGACTTGGCTTTCAGCAATGCATCAACGCACTTCAGACTGTACTGCCATTACATGACATACCGGTCGGAATTGCCATCATCACATTTGCACAGAGCCTCAGTGGCGCAATGTTTATTTCGATTGCCCAGACCGTTTTTCAGAATCGGCTTGTGGCAAGCATAACGACCTATGCTCCCAATATCAGCCCAAACGCATTAACAAAAGCCGGGGCCGCAAATCTGTCGCACCTGGTGCCAAAATATATGCTTCCCTCCGTTCTACACGCCTATAACATTGCCGTTATCCAGACATTCTACGTGTCTGTTGCTGCCGCCCTACTGTCTTTTATTGGTGCTGGACTTGTTCAATGGAAGTCTATGAAAAGACGACAGAAATATGACGGCGCATCTCGAGCCAGTCAATAGCGGGATTTGACGGCTTTTGGGATTCATTGATATTCTATGTTGTTTTGGGGTTGTTCGATGGCATCTTCCGTCGGGATGTTTGTAAATAATGACGTTCAGATTGTGGAAAGTGAATAATTAGCACATAATATGTGAATTCTATACGTGACCTCAATCTCAGACTTAGTATAGCCAGTTGAGGTGTATGGGGATACGGAAGTCATGATCCAATGGAAGTAAAAATTCAATAGTCCAACCTCAACTCCAGTTTCCAGTCCAATGTTCAACTTCGCCCCCTAAACTGTCATATTCAAATGATTGGCATAGCTCTCTCCATCCGAGGGGTATCTTTGTGACGAAATCTTTTGTTGGGTGGACCTTGGGGACACCAGGTCGTACTTGAGAAGCTTACGGGGAACGTAATCTTCTTCCCCGTACACGGTCAGTCTCGTTGGATGAATTGCCGAACATAGAGATATCCGAGATATCCGTTGCGTTGCCAATTGTATCTAAACATAGAGGCCAGGTAATCAGGATGACTCCGAGAAGGACCCCTTGAGGTAATCAAGGCTTGCTTGATAAAGATCTCGGAGAAATCGCAATATTTGGACCTTACTGCAATTTCTTTTGGCCTTTTTCGTTTCTTCGAGCCTAGAGGATACAGCAAGACTCCGGGCGCACTGAAGCCTTTTTGGTACCAGCACCATGACTGCCTCCTGAATCAGCTTCCAAAGAGGATTCCGGAGACTGCTTCCCAGACATGACTCGTATGCGGTGGCTATCCAAGGTAGAGGCTAACCAGATAGCACGGCTCATCCATGGCACTTCCGCAAAATCAGACTGGTATTCAGAAAGGATCGCTTCTATCCTTGCCAGCTGAACTAGATTATCTGATGCTGCCCAAGCAACAACTAAGCATAGAGGAATGTACCCTGCCCCAACCGGCCGGTAGCAAGATGCCAGTTCGGCTTGGGTTGTAATCTCATCACAGAGAAAGACAGCTTCACTCACCAAGGAAGCGTTCCAGGGATCGAAAACTTGAAGAAGACTGTTCAATAACACAGCCAGCGTAGAGAGCATGGCATAAGCTGCTTGAATACGGCAATGTCTCGCAACTTCAGAGGATGAGAAAGATACAAGGACAGCGTCTGCACATTGATCAAGATGTTGTTTTACTCGTTGTGCATCGAGTCTCAGTTGCATGTATGTCTTTGCAATTTCGGCAAGGTGTGGCTCGGGGTCTTGGACAAACTTAGGAAACATGGCTAAATGTTGCAGCTCGGTGGTTGATTGTGACTGATTGTTGTCCCGTGAGGCAGATAGACGACGTCTGAAGGATGAGACCAGTTCCCAGAATTCCGAATCCATCTTGATACGGGGATTGACAATGCCTTCGAGTATCTATTCAAATCATTGCTTGTAAGTAATTTCTCATGGCATCAACTGAATTTGTTGTTAGGAGTAATCGGAATGCAGACATACTATAGGCACACAGAGTGTAATAACCAGCTCCATCTCAAATGTACTCTTCCACTCGCGTAGCGCGGCAGCCCTGAGGAGATGAGCGATAGCTTCGCTGTGACTAGTGATCGAATCATCGTGTTTTCCTAGCCAGCTCTTATGACAGCTCAGCTGCTATTTCATGGATTTTGCTTTTCGGGGTTAAAAAGTGGTTTGGGACAGAGTGGCACTTTACCTGGCAGATGGTAATCAAATAGACAGCACATAATGTGTTGGGAGTTCGGGCCTCAACTGGATCGTTCAAGCATTCTCTCAGTGCCCGCAGCGATTGTCCATAGAGAACGAGTGCATTCGGTGAGTAAGATCCCGCGTGAAGTAATGGATAAGCGGTTGATAAGGCTCTCACGGCTGAATCAAGGACGGTGCTGTTGCCCAATCGCCGTGGAATATCCCGCAGGAAAGGTCCATAGTAGGCCATAGCATATCGGATATCGGTCACCTGGAATGCTGCTACAAAGGCTGCTGCCATTCTACTCGTGTCAGTGCTAGGCACCCGTGTCGGTTCCCCAATCCACACAGCCCTATTGCCAGTAGATGAAAAGGACCGCTGAAGCTCTGATTGGCTTTCTGCTCCGCTTTGTGCTTGCATCGCTTTGATCGACTGATTCTTGAACATGTACCGTTGTTGTCCTCCCCAACACACGTCATTTTCAGACGCGCGCATCGTGAGCATGTTGGTTTGAGTTGATCACACTAAACTTTCAGTTAAACAGATACAGCAAGTTAGCCTTTAGTGGAGGACCAAACCTTCTTCTTCACCTTGCGACACGCATCGCAGCCCCGACTAGATGGAACCCCAGGCATGTGTAAAGTCAGATGTGCGTCACTAGATAATATTGCATTTGTTTGTTTTGGCCTGATACACAGTGGGGAAATGTAATATGAGATGTGTATGCTGGGTAGAGTCATCCTCAAAAGGGGATGGATAGTGCGACGAGATATATTAATGTGACGTCATCGGTTCGCTGTCACAGCCCCCAGCTAAGCCCCTGAAGACACAAAGCACACAAGTATGTACTCCTGCACGACGGAGTACGGAGTAAGAGGGACTACTTGGCAAGCAGCTGAGTCCTCGTATAAATGAGCCAATCATAATGTGCAGAGTCTCTACTGAGCACGGTCCACGTCCCGTAATACGGCGCACTATCATGCCCGATTGGGAAGTAGAAGATAGTCATAGATGGTCTGTATTCTGGCGATCAAGACAACTTCAGAAAGCACCCCAAGGGGTATAAAACAATCGAAAGCTGACTGTAAAAAAAAAGCTATAGCTACTCTTCCACAGTCTCGAACTGATCTACTTTCGCTTCGACTCCTATCTCAGAAGAAGTGGTGTCCACGGGTATCAGTGCTCCTTGCAAAAATGAATCGTACGGCATTCTGTTCTTCTTTCACCATCAATAACGGGTCTTCAAATCGACAGTCCTGTATCTCATTCTCACTGCGACCAGCGCCATGGGACTCAGCAAAGATTTTGGTTCACCCTTCAGGCTATCCAATAGAGGCACCGCCTATGTACTCGATCATATCCAAGGATAGCGCTCCAAACGTCGTATTACTTCGGGGCTGGGGTGAGGGTCCATGGGACATCGTCGGCGACGCTCGACTTCCAACCCTATCTTCCAAGATACATCTGACTTTTTACGGCCAACCAATAAACATGCGTTTGAACCAACTCTCGGGCAATTGCGCTCTCGAGTCACCCGCCGTGGGCCAAGTGAAGTGGAGACCCGATATGCTCACAGGGAGGGACATGCAGTTGCAGGATGGTACTGGTAGAAAGCTAGCCAGGCTACGACCAGGGAAATCGGGTGAGAAGCTCTTGGAGATTCTCGTCTCTCATGACGGTCCTTTCTTTGAGATGGTGTTGCTATCAGGATGGACTGCCAGAGCTATCAACAAGTCGATGACAGAGGCAACAGGGGAAATTCTGAGCTCTGTCATAGGAGCTTAGTGGGCATCACTAGTTCGTGGACCCTTAACTGTGAGACTGTTTTAATGGACGATGCGCCGACTCCAGTATTGATTATCAATGCTCCCAATAAATACCATGTGTTCTGCGTTACAGCTCCGTTGGATTCTAGCTGCGGGTAATATTCATAGAAGAACGTTGCCTATCTAGAGTCCATAGTACCGTATCTGGGTTACGCTGCGTTAATAAAGAAAACACAGAGGGAAACAGAAGAACATCATATAGAGTGCCACTAACAACTTGAATTAACTTGGTGATTTGCGACATGGATTATTCGTGATGTGTCGGACACTTCCTATGAATGCATATCAGTGTATGCATGTGGCTGGCAAAGGAGCGAATTTTGCGTCATTTCTCAAAGCTATAACCATAAATCATGCTGTCATCCCGCAAAGTACAGCCCTAGAGCGACGAGATAATACAGCAATCAGTCAGTAAAAGCCGAAGCCAATCTGGATGCCCAATGTAAAATAAAGCAACCACGAATCTTTCCAGATCACCAGATACCCGACAAAGCTCACGCCAAAATAAGACCCTGTCGCTCTAGGAATGGTGGGATATCGGCTATCAGCGCTGCATAAGAGTACACTGTTCCTAGTGAAGCTTGGTTTCCATAAGCTATATATGCAAGGGCCATCTCTTTGTGTGTTGGAGAGCCGATCCATGTAATTTCCGGCCTATAGTCGCCCGGCCAATACAGCTCGACTCCCTAAAGTAAACGTCCTGCATTAGTGATTTGATCCTCCAGCTGATCATTTCATATTCTGCACTTACATTTTCTTCCTCTTCAGTCATGTCAGAGGAACTGTACGGACGTAGCCGGTCTCCAACGCGCACTGGAACTTGTTAGCTGACTCAGGTGACGACCATTTGCAGCTGCAACAATGCTTTTGGGTCATTCAGTTGGCGGGGAAGCAGGAGCTATCCCAGCAGCGATCAATATTCCCAGGGTGCATGTGAATCTCGAGAGAAAACTCCGAGTATTTTATGTTGGATGGGGTTGCTCACCATGTTTTTCCTCAGATGGATCATAATAACTATCAAGAACCACGGGGAGGACATCAATTTGTATTCCAAGGGATTTGAAAACAGAGTAAAGCACAAGATCAGACCCCTTGAGTGCTCTCGGAAGTAGCATTGGAGCCTCATCGGAGGCGTGAGGATATGCGTGAGAGCAAAAGAACCCTAAAGCGCCACCTTGGGACAGTTAGCTTGATGCTCTGGGTTAAAATGACCACATATTGCAAACACACCGTCTGTCATGAAGCCTGGCTCCACGAGAAGTTCTTCCAAAAAGCTATACAATGACATGCTCTTTGGGTCAACAATCAAGCTTGGCGGAATTGATCCCCCCACTGGCTCTGTTACGTAGAGGTTGTACGTCAAGGTGATTCGCTCTCCTTCTGTGATTGTTTTGATCTCATGCTCGCAGTCACTATAAAATGCCGCCCATTGAATCGCAGACGCACTCTGGTGACTCCAATCGAACTCGACCTGTTTTCCCTCATGTTGAACGATCAAGTTGCCCCCTTTAAAATGAGAGGGCAGGCAAACGACGAGTGAGCCGATCTGGCTCTCGGATCGTGGTGTGTCAACATGCTTCCGGAAAAGACCAGATGGTCCCGAGTAAACCTATTATTGACAGGCGCATTAAATACTGATTGCAGAGGAAGTGTTGGGCTATCATACATTCAGTTTGTATAACTCAGCATGCATTTTTCGGAAGGGTAGACGGTTTTCCAAGTCTGTGTTGAAGTTTGGAAGGAGAATTTGCTCCACATTTTGAAGGATCCCAAGGTCTGATGGGTGGAAGCTGGTGAGAAAACTTCGAGGCTCGAGTTTTCCAGCTTTTCGGTATTTGGGATCAAGAACATCTTGCTGTCCCTTGCCAAAGCTAGCAGGTTCGCAGTCTACTACCAGTTGACGCAAACCAGATTCAGCTTTGGGGCCGGCCTGTGAGTCAAGAGGTAGAGTCAACTCTCGCAGGATGTTGTCACCATCTGTTCGCCAGCAGACCCTCACTGGCGGAGACACGGTGGTTTTGGGTGGTATGGAACTAGCTGCGGTGTGCACATCAATAGGGACGAGGCCCCCACAAACAAACGACGCAGACGCTTTTTTCCCAGCGACGAATACCTCCAGCCGACGACAAATTTCATCGAACGCCAGGTTAGCCAATGGTCGAGCCGAAGAAGAAGCCATGGTAGGTTGATGATGGTACGTAGTATGGGACTATGAAGAGAAGAAGAAGAAGAAGAAGAAGAAGAAAAAGAAGGGATTAGGGGAAGATTTTATTCACCTGGGCAGCTGCCAATTTACCATATGTAGTCTCGGATGGGATATCCAGCGGTGAAGCAACTCTGGCTGGGAGGTACCTTGGGTCTGCTGCCTTTTTTTGGTGTCTTGTTTGCTGCCTTTTCAGTGTCTTTTTCAGCGTCTTTTTCAGTGTCTCTTTCAGTGTCTCTTTCAGTGTCTCTTTCAGTGTCTCTTTCAGTGTCTCTTTCAGTGTCTCTGTCAGTGTCTTTTGTCAGTGTCTTTTTTAATGTCCTTTTGTGTCTTCTTTACTTATATGCTGTAGCAGGCTGTTGTACCTGTCAAGATAGACCAAGGTGCATAGTGGAATGTAAAAATGGTGAGAACCCTAACTTCTAAAGAAATAATACAACAATTCAGGTATTTTTTATTTCCGCCATTCTACAATCAGGCAGGCATCAACTCTTAAATATCAGACATCCCTGGCCGCTCTGCACCTTTGCGCTAGGTCAAAACAACACCCTAGCAACTCTGAATATGCAGTTCACTTCGAAATGGAACTGCGCGACTTCACAGAAGTCTTCTACGATATACAGGAGTGCTAGTACCCTAGTAAGGGACTAGGCACCTACCTAGGTATATAGAGTGGGCTAGGCACATGAGATACGTGGTGATAGTCGAGCTATCATAAAACCAGCGTTTTTCCTCTTGCTTTCTGAATTGTGCATGTAACAATGATGATTCCATCCGGTCTCCGGGTCCCTTTATGTGAATGCAGTACTCAGGATGATCACATATTCCACCCTTGGTAAGTAACAAAGAAGTCCATGGGCCAAATAATCTAAATATATTGAAGGCCCGTGTACCCCAGGTTGTTACACTATCCTTTACGCAACGTTTAGATAAAAGTTGCTTCTCATTACCTGCATCTAATGTAGTAGTAATATCCATGGATGGCAGTGAATAGTTATGCATATGTATAACGGGCTGAGAATTATGCATAACAGAAAAGGGAAAATTATGAAAATACACAATCGGTTCAACCAATCAGGGAAAGCGAATCCGAGCGAATACGATATACGAATACTACCTCGGTACTCCGTACTCCGTATACGAATACACATACGGCGTGGCTAGAGGCAGTTCGCAGCGGGAACAGAGCTACTAAGCCTAACTAAGCAGTATTGCGAAGAAACTTAATAGAGAAAAGGTCCTGATTCGAAAATAAGAGGCCACATATTGAAGTTCAGTGTTTTACTGGGCTTATCTGGGGGAAGGATTCCTTGGAAGGTTGAGGCTACAAGACTGAGCACAGACCGCACAGAATGTCGCCAAGCAGGCAGGGCATATCGACAGCCTATTGCGAATTGACAACGAATCAGCCTACTCCAGGGCTACTCCGTATTCCGCCAGGATGCCACTGTGGAGATTTTGCTTGCGTCACGCTGACCCGGGCCAGTTGGGGCCATGGCAAATGCGGAATAGCGTGTTTTAAAAGGGAACTTTCCTGAAATGGACAGATTCGGGATGTCTAGGTATGTACATGTAGGTAGGTACGTAAACTGGGAAGGGTATTTACATATCGCACAAAGAAAATGTAGCCAGACGCCTCTCACGTCAGCCAACTCTATTCTAACGAAGAAAAAACGCGCATTTAGCATGAGAAATCAAGACTGAGGTGAGACCTGATATCACAGGTCAAGGCACAAGGCGAAGCTGTGCCATAGCTTGGTTGATTAGGTCTCAAGATTTGGGTATATTGGAGCCCACCAGGGCGTGCTGTACAATCTAAACTTCCAAAACAAAAAAATTAGAGACTCTATGTCTTTGGTTTGGGCCAGCCATCAATGTCTCCGAACCATCGCGACCGATAGATTTCATTCCCTTTCATGATCTGGTGACGCACACCGTCGACCACAAGACTGGTATAGTTCCCACGGAATAGTCGCCATAGAGACTGGGTGTATAGGAAGCTTCCATCGGGGGCGAGACTGAAGCCCTTGAGGTCCGACTGCGGCAACTCCACGTATTCTCCCTGGCGGTTGATCCCGTGCCGATCGTTGGTGGTGACCTCGAAGCCGGGCATATATTTCTCCACGACTTCATCGTATTCGGCGGTGAAATTCATTTCATCGATATCGAAGGCGTGGAGACCGATATCGTTGGAGACGAGCAAGACCCGTTCGTTGGGGATGGGGACGAGATCATGGGACCGGCCCACCAGCTATATCCATGCCCCCATTCGAAGTCGATATCGTAATACTCGGGGAACCGGAATCGATAGGCTTCATCGATGCTGAGCAGACCGGTCTCCGCATCAAAAGGGTATCCCTGTATGACACCGTAGGCGGGAACGGGATCGGAACCATCGGCGGCAGCATCGGTGCCGGTCGCCCACAACATCTGACCCTGTTCATCCCAGATCATGGCGTGGATGGCCCGGAGACCTTCGATCTTTTGCAAGACGGGAGGTTCATCCACAAGGGGGAGAGCCTCGCTCATGTTGTAGACCAAAATGCCATCCCAAGGTCGCTGTCCGGTAGTTCCGACGGCGAGTCGATCACCGGGTAAAGGTTCGATAGTATGGGCATTGTGTAGGACATCATTGGCTCTGTTGAGGGCGAAGGTGATTTTCTTATCGGTGGAGGGTTGATCGGGAGTGTGATTGATAACGACAACGAGAGCACTGTAGACGGCAGCCACGCTTCTCCCGCCTCGCATCCACTTCATATCGGTCGCATCGTTGTAACCGCTATATAAACCACTCCGAATCAGAGGAGGCAGAGGTTGAGTGACATCTTCTCGCTGCCAACTCCATTTGACCACACTGTTCCGGTCATGAATTTTCAATACGGGAGGAACGGCATAATGACCGGTGATGATATCTTGCCAGGGGCCCTGTACGGGAATAGCTATACCATTTTCTGACTTGAGTCTGGGTTGAGGTTCGATTAGAGGAACTTGAAAGGCCAGTGGCTCAAAAAGGAGCGAGACCCAACCGAATAAGCTCCCTAACATGATTGACACATGTCTAGAGAGAGAGCTAGAGAGGGGGGGGGGGAAGAGGAAGAGAACTGATTTTATTTTTTATTTTATTTTTTCATTTTTTTCCCTGGTTTCCGTCAAGCGGGGCGTTTCTTGGCTTTTTGGCTGACTTGGGGGCTTTTTGGGGCTTAAAAGAGGGGGGCCTTGGGGGCTTTTTTGGGTACTTTTGGGGGCCATTTGATGAATATTATTCCTGAATATGAATTATTCAGATTAGTATGAACTGGTTATGGAGTAAATAGGAGATATAATCCAATCAAATTATGAAACTAAAAATATATCATTCCGTAGGGAGATATAAGACATTGAAACAAAATGGTCTCGTATGGTTAGTTAAGTTGGTACTAGGGGCCCTACGGAGTTACCAGTACTCGGTCATCGTCCCCACAAAATTCCACTTGGAAACTCGGAAGTTGGAACCCTTTTTGACCCTTCTTGATCTTCGACTTCTTTTTTTTTCCTTCTTCCTTTCTTTTAAATGTCGGGGGGTGTAAAGTATAATATATATATATCCTCCATTTCATTCTTTTCTTTTTATATATATATACCATGAAAGTCGTTCACGCTGTTCATGCTTATTTAAGCCACGGCATCCGGCGCGTTCGTCTCTCTCCTGGTGAGACCCTGGATGCCGTCTGGGACTTTTCCCGTCGTTATTTTTTCACCCTCGCCTTTCTTTCGTTATTCAGCGCCAAAATACTTCATATTTACGCTCATATATATTCTCTACCTCTTCCCCGTTTATTTCTATGGGGTCTTACCTTCTTTTTCCAAGATGTGATGATTCTATTGCTGTTTCGCATCCTCGCCCAGAAGGTCGCGTGGCGACCGGGTGCCGCCCTACTGGCAATCTTGGTGATCCCCTCTAGGTAAGTGTCCACGTGCCCCCTTTTTCAACTTCAACTTTTTGCCCTTTTTTTGTATCTTTTTCTTTTTTTCAATTGGATTTATATTAAACTGAATATAATTGATTTTGAAACTAACTTATCAATATGATACAGTCTGCTTGTCTCCTTTATGGCTGCCGCCAATACCTCCTTCTACGTCTTCACCGGTGCCGAGATCCACTGGCGCCAAGCCAAGTCCTTCAACGGTGATGCCGCTGCCATTCATACCCTGCTCACTGGTTTGACCGGGTTTTTGATTGTCGAGGGCATCCTTCTAACTCTCTCATTGTTCGCTGCCCATTCCATTCATGCAATTACTGGAGGTATCCTGCATGTCTGGGCCTGGCCCGTTCGATGGCTGTTTGCTCGTGTGCGACCGCACGTGGAGCCCCTGGTGCAACGCTTCTGGCCATCCAAGTCCCCAGACCTTCCCGATCCTCGAATCTACGAACAAATCGACATGGAGGAAAATGATAGTGATAATGAAGAAGGGGATCATCTGTTGAATACCGGAGCGCAACTTCCAAACCGCCTCCCGGAGTCCAAGCGAGTCACCGACGGTGTACCCCAACGGGCGCTCATCCTGGGATTGTTCAGTCTCTTCCTCTTCCTTCGATTTATGCGACCGTGGGACCAGGTGTATATGTACATGTCCACCACCTTACCGTTGACCACGGTCGTCGAGGGCGCAGAGCGTCACTCCCCCGTCGTTACCACTGGCACACCGGGACTTTTCGAATACTTGGATGGGGTCACTGCCTTGCGCCCTGCACCCCGTTGGAGCTGGATGTCAAAGGAACCCATCGCCGGTTTCGATGACTGGGACCAATCCGACCCCTTGGCCCTCCACTACAACCCGCATGAGGACCCATTGCATATCTCGAACCTCAACAAGCCGGTGCTGGAGGAGATTCATAACGCATTGGCTAGCGGTGATGTCAAGATCAAGCATGTCGTTTTCTTGAAACTCGAGAGTGCACGTGCCGATATCTTCCCCTGCAAAAGGACAGTTTCATGTACAAGCGCATCGCGGAAACGTGGAAGGACAAGACGATCCCCCCAGAGGTTGTAGACCGCCTGGCAAACCTCACCCGGACTGCCGAGTATCTGACCAACTTCCCCAATGGGTTTGAGCACGACGATGCCCGTTTTAACGGCCGCAAAGCGTATGGTGGCATCAGCGCCAAGAATGCCATCACTTCCGCCACATACACTCTGAAGAGTTTGACGGGAAGTTTCTGTGGTGTGACCCCACTGGTCGCCGATTTCAACCGCGAATTCGACCACCATATTTACCAGCCATGTCTGCCCCATGTCTTCGACATGCTCAGCCAGCAATCCGATATCACCAACGATACCGACGACTTCACCAAGTGGCCGTGGCATTCGACCTTCATGATGTCTGTCACCGAAATGTACGACAACCAGGACAAATTGACTCCCCAATTGGGATTCCGTGACAAACAGACCAAGGAGACAATCATCAAGCCCGAGGCCAAGCATTATCCTGTCACAAGTCCCGAAGTGAACTATTATGGCTACCCGGAATCTGAGCTCCGAGAGTACATCCGTGATGCCATTGATGATGCGGAACGGGACCACCAGCGTCTCTTCCTCTCCCACCTCACGAGTACCACTCACCATCCGTGGGGTGTTCCGAATGACGCCTATGATGACCTGATGGGCTCAAAATCCGGTTCCAACAACGATATGAACCGATACCTGAACTCGGTTGGCTATGTGGATGATTGGCTCTCGGATCTCATCGATATCCTGGAGGAGAAGGGAGTTGCCAATGAGACCTTGTTCGTCATGGCGGGAGATCACGGCCTGTCCCTCCCCAACGACGGCGGTATCACCCCCTATGACAACCCCCACATCGGCAGCTTCAAGGTCCCCATCGTGATTGCACACCCTCAACTCCCTCCCGTCCAGATCGACACTCCAGTCATCAGCACCCAGATCGTCCCCACCATCATCGACTTGTTGATCGAGTCGGCATCCCTCAGCAAGGACAGCACAACTGCCGCCCGCGATATTCGCTCGCTGTACGAAGGTCAATCCCTGATCCGACCGCAGGTCGTCCAGCAGGACGGACGCGAATCCTGGCATTTCACAGTCATGAACACTGGTGGTTCATGGCTATCTGTTCGGTCGGCCGCCCGGCCTGAGTTCCGCCTGGTGATCCCGCTAGTCAACGACGTGGAATGGCGTTTCTCCGATGTCTCCAAGGACCCGAACGAGCTGAACCCCATCGAGCGCTTCAGCCTTGCCGACCTAGCGGCCGCGGTCAATAAGGAGTATGACGATGAAGAAGTTCTCAACTGGCTCTACAACGCAGCCTATGTCACCAACTGGTGGGTAACGGAGAACTGGGATCGATGGAGATTCTCCCCAAAGGCCAAGGAAGAGGCCAAAGAAGAGGCCAAAGAAGAGGCCAAAGAAGACAAAACCTAAGCATTTCCGTGAACCGACTTGGGCACGCATCTTTATTTACATTTCATCTATCTTAATACTTGCATGCCTCATCTACCAAGCGTCTGCTTGGGATGGGCACTCTGGGTTGGCGACAATGCCGCCATGACGGGATCCGCCAGTATCGGTGGTCCCGAGCATGGGGGTCGGGGCGACCTGAGCAGAGCTTCGCCGGATTCATCGTGAAGCCTTGTGCGGATCGTTTGGTTCGGTGTCAATCTCGAGAACGAGACACCGTGTGTCTCAGGACGTAAACCCCCGACCCGACATGTCTGGCATGTCGTCCGGAGTAGAAGCGATTCTTCTTCATGTACTTGTTTATATATCCATCCTATCTACCGCTGTACTTGATCATACCTGGATATCATTTTCTTGTTATATTATTGCAAATATCACCCTTGGGTCTCTCACATTTGATAATATTGTTTAAAACTAGATGTCGATATCTAAAGTAATCTAAACTAGCCCTATCTAGACTAGTGCATGTGTAACCATGGAAAGGAAGGAGTTCATGAGATAAGATTTCAGCTTCTATTAACTTTAATTATTAAACAGTCTTGGATGTCCTAGGTACAGCTACATACCTAGGTATCCATGGATAAAAACAGTTGAACGGGGAATGAGATAAAGAGCAAGACGTTAACCAAATGGGAATAAGCCAGGAAAGGTATCGTCATACGTAGGTGGAAACTTGATACATCACAGTCAAGTAATCTCTTAATGGCAGGGAATGGTAGGGTAGTATATACGACGCTTACTCTATTTGCGGATATATTTCCCATATAAACTAATCGAAACGTCATGATCAGTACCACACTATAAAACGAACAATTTCCCCCTGTGTCCAGGAAATACTTTCATGTGTGTTAGGATGTTAGAATCTGCTTCAATTATCCATTCTCCGATGGAATGCAGCAATGAATCTGAAGTTGACGTGGTTAAAGCCAAGTGAGTGTCTGGCAATTGCGCCGGAAGAAGAGAGGGAAAGGAGTAGAGGCTTGCATCGACTGCACTGCTACCTAGGTACGTACCCTCTGAACTCATGACGTATTGCGAAGCTGCAAAGTTTTGCCTGCCCGAGATGTCTTTATTTTCCGGCTTAGGCGTTATTGAGCGCTTAGTTCCATTAAAGGTACCTATTCTTCTGGCCTTTTTTTTTTTTATAAAATAAGCCATACGGAACGGAATGCACAAAATGCACGACCCCAGTATTCGTGTGCTTGCAACTCCAGAGTGATTGAATCGTAAACCTGCCTAGTGGTCATCCTATCAGAAATTAGCACTTTCCATTAACGTGGTTTTATATAGAAGGTGTGGTAAGAGGAAAGAGCCTCCCGAAGTTACCTACCTAGGTAGGTTGTCTTGAAGTATTTTGAGTTCCACACGCGGAATTTTGCCTTTTTGGGTAATTTTGCCGAGGGACTAGAAAGAGATGTTGCCTAGCTTATGTGCAGCAACAGGGAAGTGCCAAGTTATGAAGATATGGGCCGAGGAACCATGAGAGGGGATACGATCAAGTTAAAAGTCATGGAAATGTGAGTGACAGTCATTCGCACATTAGAGTATTGCGCCTAGGTACGTCCACAAGTAATATGTACAGAGGGACCCGAT